ACCCAGGGGGACAGCTTGAGGCTCCTGTCTCAAAAAAAAAAAAAAGAAAGAAAGAAAGAAAGAAACATCTAGACTAGAATGGATGGAGGGCAGAGGAAATGCAGGGCAAGCCCACAGTGCTTGCCACTGCTAGGACCCTTGGTCTCCTTCTCTAAAAAATGGGGTTATGCCCTGCAGGAATGCTGAAGCAGCTGGACCAGGTCAAGGTTCACAGAAAGCCTCCTTGCCAAATACCCTGGGGTCTTCATGATCCAGTGAGAAGTGCCTCTCTCTCTGATCATATCTCCTCATGGGGTCACATGGCAGGAAAGAGGGGAGAACCACTGGCTAAGTTCTGGGACTATCAGGACAGTTAAAAGAGAGGATGGGTATGCTTGCCCTCCATTGAAGCTAAGCCTTTTCCTAGACATCATGGGCAGTAAGGAAAAAAACTGTGTTTGGGCATCAGGAATGAGGAGACTATGGCCCCTGCAAAAGATTCTGCTTTTTAAATCAACTAGAGTAGCCTGCTTTTGCAACAAGACAAGAAAAAAAATTGCTAACTTGCCTGTGCAACAAGACAGGAAAACAAAACAAAATTGTATCACCCTTGCTGCAGCAAATAGTAACTGTATACAAACTGTGTAAGAAACATCTCCAGGAGGAAAATAAGAAACTGCCAAGGGGTGGAGTAGGGATGGTGCCTGGTTTTTGCCAGCCTGCCCCACCACATGAATTGCTAGACAATGCTAGTGTACCCAGGCTGCCTTTTTGATGAAATGATCAAATGATCAAAGGTGTTTGTGTTATTGTTAAATGTAACACATTTACTACATAGATGTAGTAAAATAAAGTGCTATATCGTGTTTTGTAACAAAAATAACAACATCAAAATATCCCAGACTTTATCAGCTTTTGCACTAATTCAAGGAATATGAAACAGAAGCCCAGATGGGGTACATGAACAGCCACTCCCCCATCAATGCTTCTCACCTTGGAAGGATGCCATCTTCTTTGTATTGGTCAACTTGTGGTGGGTGACCATCAGGGCCTGTCTGAACTTCAAGTTGGTCTCCCTGGAGACATGGAAGGGAGGAAGGTGATAAGAAAGGTGAGAGGGGAGGGGATAGGTGTCTCCCCAGCCCAAAGAGCTCCTAGCCTCCTTCCAGAGTTATGCAAATATTTTCATTGAGCACCTACTATGTGTCAGCTGCCAATCAGAAGGCTGAGGCCCAGAGAGGGAGACAGCCTTGACGCCCAGCACATTTGCCAATGGGCTTAGAATGGGGCCTTGGCCTTCCCACTCTCAGGCAAACAGTAAGGCCCTGCAGAAATCCTGGTGCATGGAAGGTAGGTCCCTTCCTCTGGCTTATTCTCATCACCTCTGCTGGCTGGATGAATGACCCAAAGTATCTGAGAGGGAAGGGGTTAGCCAGCTGCCTCTGAGGCAACTGGTAAAAGGGGGATCCTCCGGGCTGTGTGCCAAAGCCCCCCTCCAGGCCCCCAACAATGCTGAGGCTCCTTACCCATCGATGTCTGCTGTCTCCAAATAGCACAAGCTGCTGGGCTCTGTGCTGGCCAGCAAGAGCAAGTCAGCCTAGGTAGGGAGGAGTATTGTGGGAAGGGGATGGACTATAAGTAGGAGAGGCTGGGCAGTCCACCCCAGGGGTGGGGGGGGCACTCACACAGAGGGGAGTTCTGGGGCAGGTGACACCAGCTCACCGGCACAATGCTATCTCTGCTGAGACAGACTACATCTCCCACGCACAGATCCTTCCATTTTTTCCCAACGAAGCTGCAGGGAGTGGGGGTGTGAGAGGAGGGTCTCCCTCTACCTCCCCCCTACTGAGCATGATCAGAAGGAAGGGGTAGCAAGGGGCTGCAGTTGGGTGTGCAGGCACTTAGCTTCCCCATCCTCAGGCCTTTACTTCCAACCAAGCCCCTCCCCACTTAGCAGCCTACAAAGCTAGCTCAGTTCTGGGCTTTCCCCAGGAAGCCTTCCTTGACCTCCTACTTCCCTCCTCAGAGGTCCACACTCCTGCCCAGTGGCCTCCAGGGTCCTGTACCTGAGTCTTTTTCGAACTCTAAGCCCTGCCGGGTTTAACAATCAGTGGCAGGTACCTAGTAAATGTAGGCCTGGATTCCCCACCAGATTCAGCCAGGAGATGGAGAAGGTGTGGAAGGTGAGGGACCCTCTGCCCCAGGGCCACCAGCCTCACCTCTTTCCCATCAGGATCTGGCAGGGCCTGTTGTTGATGGCTTTGTCACTCCTATGCCGACCCTGAGCCACGAAGGAGTGGGTCAGAGGGACCACTCTGCCTTTCCCACCCTGGCCCCATGCCCTCACCCAACGCAGCTCCCCTGGCCCCACTCACAATGTCGTCCATCAGATCTCGGGTGGCGCGGATGATGAGGAGGCAGACCAGAGGGGCAAAAAGAGTGAACCAAGGCAGTGTGGAGATCTCAGGGATGCTCTGCCATTGACAGGGGTAGGTCACACTAGTCACTAGCAGGGCTGCCTCCCTCCCTGTCCTTCTTGGTTCTCCCCTCCCCTCCCACTCCCTGCTGCCCCCACCACTGACTCCCTTTGCTCAGAGCTTCTCACCTCACCTTGTCTCCCAGAAAACTCCTCTTCATCTTTGCCCAGCTTTCCTCCTCCAGGGAGCCCTCCCCAAGTCCTAGCCTCACTGCTCCTCCATGTCATCCCTGAGGTCTAAGCTCCACTGTCACACCCCAAGGCCCAGCCTCAGACCTCACACAGCAGGCACTGACTCATGCTTAATGACTGGATGTTGGGAGTGAGAGGGACCCTGACCAGATGCCTATCCCCTGACGCTGCCCTGCATCCCTCCTGCCTCTGCACCCCATGAGTTCTTCTCAGTAAACAGGGGCTGGAGGGAGTTGTGTGGCTTGGGCTTTGCAGGCTGAGGAGGGGCTGTACCCTCCCACTGTCCTATTCTGCTCAGCAGGCATCAGTGGAGCACAGAGAGGCTGCCCTTCTCAGGCCAAGTGATCCATCCAATTATTCAACATATATTGAGTACCTCCTGTGTGCCAGGCAGTGGGGGCCCAGAAATAAGGGCCCTCAGGGAGCTCTCAGGGTATGGGGAGTGGGACACTGATGCATTCATCACACAGACAAATAAACAAAGTTGCCCCAGGTCTATGGAGCAATGCTACCAGGTGGTTGGGATGGCTTCCGGGATGGGTCCAGAGGAAGCCTGGACAAGGAGGGGAGCAGGGAGAAGGAGCAGAATGGTTGCAGCATTTAGACACCCCCACCTGCAGGATGATGATCAGGAGGAAGTACTGGTTGGAAATGCGATGGAACTGCTCATACAAGTTTAGCGGCAGGAAGGAGAAGAAGTTGTACTTAGCCGTGTGGATGACGTTGGTCTGCAATGAGAGCCGACAGCCTCCTGGCATGGGGGCAGTGCCAAGGCCAAGGGGTCCTGAGGTTGGCCCTGCCCCACTCTGGCCCCCACTGAGTAAACATCTGCTGAGCCAAAGTTTATTGAGCGCCTGCTGAATGCAAGGTCTGGAAGCCAGTATTAATCATCTAATAAATGCAAGGCCTCAGGCCAACATTTGCTGAGTATCTGTTGGATGCAAGGACTCGAACCGGCATTCATTAAGCCTCTTCTGAATGCAAAGATTGGTGGAGCTGGGACCCCAAGGTGAGACACCAAGAGGATTTCAGGTGGGGCCCTGATAGACACACTACTTTCCAGGTCATGCAGTCACTTACTTCAATGTATGCTGGTATGGGACAAAGAAGACACAAATAATACCTCCACACCAGAGATGAGGTGAGCACAGGCAAATGCTACAGTGCTCACCATTCAAATGACAGTATGGAGCAAATGCAAGCATGGGGCTCAGTGTGGCAGCTCTGGGGTGGGAGTGGAGCACTGGAAGGGCTGCCCACCTTGTACTTCTCCTTCTCCCAGCACAGAAACACCTTCTTCTTGAACTGCGAGCTGTAGGCCCGGTTGTTGGCCTTTGCCTCCCAGGTGAACGCTGCAGCCAGGGCAAAGCCAGGCATCATTGGAGCATAAGGCCCAGGAAAAACATACCTAATGATACCCTAGGGGAGGCTAATGGGACCCAAGGGGACCCAGTTTGTGACCAAAGAAGTGGAGCTGGTAAACATGCAGGAGGGACCTGCCTGGCCCCTGCACTGTGGTAAGTAGGTCTGAAGACTCCCACCTCCCACCCAGCTATGGGCAAGTCCCTGGATACAGAGAATAGGCCCTGAAAGACCCACTGATGTCCATTTGTTTTGCAAGACCACAAACCCAGCCAGGGCATCCCAGACCTTCCTGGGCTTGCCACCTCCATATCCTAAGTCCACCATTCAGCAATAGGGTTTGGGACCACTTGTAACCAAGAGAGAGCCCTAGGCAAGGCCCCTCATGTGGGTCTGGGTGTGGTCTCCCCATCCCCTCCCGTATCCCTCCCATCCACATCCCACCCTAGGCCCAGGATGTGCACCTGTGTTCTTGTTACCATCTTCCAGATCTTCTCTGTAGGTAAGAGTGCCCATGCTGGTGGGGCTGTCAGGGGGAGGGGGGCAGGGAGATGGGCCCCAGGTCACATCAGTGGCCTCAGCCCTGGTTGAAGGGACATGGTCCACTCTACCCTCAAGGAGCTCACAGCCTGGGGATTGATCCTTTCAAATGTCACCTCCCATGCCTGTCTGCATGTAGCCTCTTCCCTGGGCTCTGAAGGCCCAGCGACTGGCTGCATGTCCTGCTCTGGATACCCTCAGGCCCAGGGGGTCTCAGACTGATTCCCAAACCTGCAACAGTACTGGCCACACCACCCTCTGGCCACTGCTCCTCACACTCAGTCCAGGCTCCCACTGCCCACCTCATCCTGGTTCCACTACAGCCCTCCTGCTCTGCTCCCCACACAAAACCCACTTAAGTGCTCAGTGGACATTTTTATTGACTGACTGAATGAGCCCCTGGGTGAGATGTTCCATCTTAAAGCAAAGGATCTGAGGGGAAATCAGCTCTGAAAAGTCTGTGGCCTAGGGGCTGCTTGAGTCTAGCCCAGCACAGGTTGACACCAAACCTAAAGAGTCTCAACCTTTTGCACTAACAGGTTCAGGAAGTTGAGTCTGGGTCTGCATCAGGGTACCCTGGTGCAAACCACCCCTAAAGGGCACCCTCCCAGCTGCCCAAATGACCCCACGCCCCCAACCAGCACTCTAGCACAGCCCTCCTTGCCAAGCCCTTTCCCAAGTTGTTCCCTCAGCCAGGGAGCCCTCTCTCATGCCTGGATGATCCCTCCTCACCCTTCAGGTCTCAGTTCATACTTCCCAGACCGTCCAGTCTGGGCCCTGCGCCGCCTCTGGCATTCCCCTCTGCCTGGGGTGTCCCCCATCCCAGCTCTGACGACCTTCTGTTCTCTATTTCTTTCCTTGTCTTGGTTGCCTGCCGAACCCTGCACCTCCCCTCAGCAGGTGTCTGAGTCATCGGTGTCCCAGGGGCCTAGAGGGGTAGGGCCTGGCTCAGGGCCAGCCCCAGAGCTCCTGGAAGCCTGAGCGGAGCCCATGCTCAGGCTCTGATGAAGAAAAGTGGGAGGGGAAGTACGGGTGAGATCTGGGTGCGTGACAGGCAGACAGCGGTGGAGGTGATGCTATGAAGGTCAGAATCCACCCAAGTTTATTCGGGTACAGAAACATACACGGTGGTTGCTTGCTTTCTCGCCACCCTCGTCTATCCAGAGCACCTGTACAAGGATGCTCCGAACATCCCGCGCCATGTGGCCCAGGCTCTCAGTACCCCGAACGCGAGAACCGCTAGGGGGCACCCTCTCCACCGCCTCTGCTCCCCACTCCCAGCCCTGAGCCGGGGCGGACTCCAGAGAGGGTGCCCGGGCGCCTGGGGACGCAGAGCAGTGGGGACACCCGCAGCTCACCTGCGCGGGCCGGGGCGGGCAGGGCCGGGCTGCCTGGGGTGGGCCGCCGGCGTCCAGGGCGGCGGACGTGGTGGGGCTGTTAGCCTGGCGCCAACCGGCCTGAAACGGGCGGCGCGGGGCCGGGGGCGGGGCCCGGTGGGGCGGGGCCGCGGGGAGGGACAGAGCTTTGGGGAGGGGCCATGGTAAGGGGCGGGTCCCATTGGATGGGCGTGGTCGATGCTGAGGAGGCGTGGTTTGGCATCGGGGTGGAGCCAAGGTAGAAGGAGGGGCAGAGAGGAGCATTGCAGAACGTGGTAGGGTAGGATGGCACCTCGGTGCGAGGCCAAGGTAGGGGAGAAACCCAAGAGATCCTTGCCGGACTGGCCAAGGTGGGGACAGGGTCTTGGTGCGGGATAAGATAGGGGCGGGTCCCAGCGGGTTGAGTGAGGCCGAAGCGGGCGTTGGGGCGGGCGGGGCTAAGCAAAGGAGGGACAAGGTAAGAGGGTGGGGCCAAATGTGGTCTTGATGAATACATTTAGGAAAGGCACCTCGGGGGCGGGGCCAGCTAAGAAAGTGGGACCTGGCAGGGCCCTGTGAAGCGGCCTTGGGAGTCGAGTCTAAAGGTGAGGCCTGCAGGAAGTTGGGGATGTCAGGTTGGGATGGAGGAGTGGGCTGCAGGGTGAGGTTGGGGAGTTCTTGTAAAAGCAGAGCCTGGGAAGAGTCTGGGCAGACCAGGAAGGCCCTTGCAGATTGGCTGGAGTTGAGATTGGCGGTGCCTTTGTGGGGTTAGAAAGGAAAAACGCGCAGGTAACCGCAGTTATGAGGTACGAGGGGCGAGGGGCATGTGTGTAAGTCAGGGCACCTGGGTCCATCACTTATCCATCCCATACATGTTAAACCAGCACCTCCTAAATGCAAGTACAGAGCTGGACCCCATGCTGAGGATATGTCACTGGGTCCATCCCAAGACCAGCGGGAAGCCAGAGGGGCTCTGTCCAGAGCACACCCACCCCCACGGTGGCTGGAACTAGGGGTGAGGAAGTGAGGACACAGTGAGGTCAAACACAGCAAGGAAGGTGGGGCAACATCCAGGCCAGGCCAGAAATGGTGGGGGGGAGGGCTTGAGCCAGGGCCAGAGGGGTTGTGAGAAGGGGCTACCAAAGATAAACTCCCCCTGAGAATGGAGCTCCCTAAAGTGGGTATCCAGGGGAAGGGGCAAATTGGGGGGGTAGGGAGGTGATTAAGTTCTGGGGTTTTTTTTTGAGACATGGAGTCTTACTATGGCACCCATGGTAGAGTGCTATGACATCACAGATCACAGCAACTTCAAACTCGTGGGCTTAAGCAATTCTTTTGCATCAGCCTCCCAAGTACCTGGGACTATAGGCACCTGCCACAAAGCCTGGCTATATATTTTTTTCTGTCATAGTTGTCATTTTTTTTTTTTTTTGCAGTTTTTGGCCGGGGCTGGGTTTGAACCCGCCACCTCCGGCATATGAGGCCGGCGCCCTACTCCTTTGAGTCACAGGCACCGCCCTATAGTTGTCATTGTTGTTTTAGCAGGCCCTGGCCAGGTTTGAACCCTCCAACCCCAGTATATGTGACCAGCACCCTAACCACTGAGCTATGGGCACCTAGCCTAAGCTCTGTTGTTCTTTTCTTTTTTTGAGACAGTCTCATTACATCACTCTCGGTAGAGTGCCGTGATGTCACAGCTCGTAGAAACCTCATACTCTTGGACTTAAACTATTCTCTTGCCTCAGCGTCCCAGGTAGCTGGGACTCGAGGCACCCACCACAATGCCTGGCTATTTTGTTTTGTTTTGTTTTTTTGGTTGCAGTTGTCGTTATTGTTTAGCTGGCCCGGGCTGGGTTCAAACCCGTCAGCCTTGGTGTAGGTGGCTGATGCTGCAACCATTGTGCTACGGGCGCTGAGCCCTAAGCTCTGTTTTTAATATTTTCACTTTTAGGGACCTGCAAGGAAATTAGGAAGATAGCAGTGCCCATAGCTCAGTGGGTAGTGCACTGGCCACATGCCCCAGGGCTGGTGGGTATGAACCTAACCCCAGCCTGCTACAAACAAAAAAATAGCCAGGTGTTGTGGCAGGCACCTGTAGGCCCAGCTACTCAGGAGGCTGAGGTAAGAGAATTGCTAAAGCCCAAGAGCTGGAAGTTGCTGTGAGCTGTGACACCACAGCACTCTACCGAGGGCAACGAAGTGAGAATCTGTCTCAAAAAAAAGATAGTGGACTTTTCTCCACCCTCACCACCCTGTCATCCCCTCCCTATCTCTCTGGCCCAGGTCCAACAGATGGGGGTACTTGAGTCTGATTCTATGCCCCAATCTCCCTTTTTTTAGAGACAGTCTCACCCTATCGCCCTCAGTAGAGTGCCGTAGTGTCACAGCTCACAGCAACCTCCAGCTCTTGGGCTTAGGCGATTCTCCTGCCTCAGCCTTCTGAGTAGCTGGGACTACAGGCGCTTGACACAATGCCCAGCTATTTTTGTTGCAGTTTGGGTGGGGCTGGTTTCAAACCCATAACCCTCAGTATATTGGGAGGGGGGGAAACTCACTCACTGAGCCACAGGCACCGCCCTCTTTTTTTTTTTTTTTTTTTTTTTTTTAGCAGGCCCGGGCCAGGTTTGAATCCCCGGAGCATGCGGCCAGTGTCCTAACCACTGAGCTATGAGCATCCACCCCAATCTCCTTTCCCTGCTCCAGACACCAGCATCATCTATCAGCCAATGTTGGATGAATGAACAAATGATGTGGTTAAGTATAGCACCAGACCCAGCCTCCTCCATCAAAGCAGTAACCCCCTGAAGGTTCTCATTAACACCCACTTTTCATTGGAAGCCCACACCTCAAGCCCATTTGGCCCCTGGGGATCTCTCTTTTCATTCATTCAGCAAACCACCTTGGTGGTCTTTCCTAAGGGGCATTTGAATAATTTGTTCAAACAATCCCCCTGCCCCAGTCTTCCTCATAACTACCATGTAGGTGCTAGATTAAGTGTTTTCTGAATGAATGAAAACCACATCCCCCTTCTGGGCAGACCGGTTTATTGTTACTTCCAGCCTGGCCTCCAGATTGCTCACAAACTCCCTGCTAGGTGTACAGATACCACACAGAAACTCAGATAATTTAACAGGGCTTTTGTGAATACACTGGCACCCTTTAGAAAACAACTCCTCTTTTACAGAAAAGGTGGGCAAAGACTGCCACAAACAGCCTCCACGAGAGGGCCTGGCTTAACCAAGAACCCCTGGGAGGGCCATGTAGGCATCACCATAGATTCTAAAGGCCCTAAGAGATGCAAACCCCAGCAGTGAGAGGAAAACATTCTTCCATGCAGCCTTGGGACAGGCACCTATGGGGAGGGCCCCATGTTTGTCCCTTCCTGAGAGACCAGGGAGCCAGGAACCCATATTCCAGGCCACCCCCAGGCAGTCTCCCTTCCAGAAATTTATGCTTAAAGTATCAGACTAGGCCTCCAGGTCCTGTGGCAGAGGTTTCCTTAGCATTTCCTGTTCCATGAAGCTCTTCAACCTGGATTTTTACTTTATTCATCTTTTGCTTTATTTTATTATTTTTTTTTTTTTGCAGTTTTTGGCCAGGGCTGGGCTTGAACCTGCCACCTCTAGCATATGGGGCTGGCACCCTACTCCTTTGAACCACAGGCACCACCTGGTCTTTTTATTTTTTAAGACAAGGTCTTGCTCTATTGCCCAGGCTGGAGTGCAATATTGTCATCATAGCTCACCATAGCCTGAAACTCACAGGTTGGCACCACTACTCCCAGACAGCTCTTATACTTACTTTTTTTGAGACAGAGCCTCAAGCTGTAGCCCTGGCTAGAGTGCTGTGGCATCACAGCTCACAGCAACCTCCAACTCCTGGGCTCCAGCAATTCTCCGGCCTCCACCTCCTTAGTAGCTGGGATTATAGGCACCTGCCACAACGCCCGGCCATTTTTTAGTTGCAGCTGTCATTGTTGTTTGGCGGGCCCAGGCTGGATTCGAACCTGCCAGCTCAGGTGTATGTGGCTGGCACCTTAGCCGTTTGAGCCATAGGTGCTAAGCCAGCTTTTATACTTTCAATAGAAATTGTGGGCCTGGCTCAGCGCCTATAGCGCAACCGGCTAAGGCGCCAGCCACGTACACCTAAGGTGG